GGCTCTTTGTGATGAACGTTAAGTGTCGTGTCACGTAGTTCTAAGCTCTACTGGCTATCGCTGACCTGGAACGGGTGGGTTGACACAATTCTGCACAGCGAATCGTGGCGCCTTAGACGATTGGGCCACCTGTGCCCTCACCCCCTTACATCACTTACATAACCGAATAATATTACTTCGTGCATGACAAACACAAAACTGTGTGGCATGTTAAAAATAAGTTAAAACTGTCACAAATGTTTTCAGACCTCAAGCGGATTTATTAAAAGAACGATTGACGTACATGCCACGTACATGCATAATTGTTTGAATGTGCACTGCATGTGTGTGGCTGCTTGTTCTCGTACAGACTAATGCCGGTTTGTAGTGCTGCCCCACTGGGGTATCATACCGCGGTTTAACACGGGTATCCCACTCAGACAACAGTACACTGAATCCGACCCAACCAGTCGTTGTTTTATCCCCTGAATGCCGAGCGACAGGCAGGGTAACAACAAGAACCACCTCGTAACGAACGCTCTTGAAAAGGCACGAGAACCAACTTTAATACTTGCGACCACGTTCATACAATGTTTGGCCCTCACTCTATGAAAGTTCATACCCCAATGGACCAGCATAAAAAGTAAACTCAATTCTCAAAAACAAAATCACTATTTATACCACGAGGGATGTAGCGCTAGATATACAAAAATACCAGCTGCATCGCGGAATATAATAGTTCCCCCAAAGGAGAGGTGGCATTAGCGTGTATATGACCAACTTGCTTTACAGGAACATATGTACATGTTGTAGTCTGTTTAGAAGCAATGTATTCAAATAACACCCTCATTGGACGAGAAGGGTTACAAAGAACCACCTCAGTAAGTCGATCAGACTGAGTGAGTGAGTGAGTGAGTTGGGTTTAACGCCGTTGTTAACAGCATTCCAGTTATATCAAGGCGTGTCAGCTTGATGTGGGAGGAAAGCCCAAAGTGATGCAGGTCTCAGACGTTTGCCACTAAGGTGAAACCCATGAGCACGGGTATGGTGCTGACAAACCTAGAAACATAATCGGGGCGAACCCACAAGCATAGTTTTCTGACGTGCCCAAGGGGCGCAACTCTGCATAGCGAAATGCCGCGCCTTACACGACTGGGCCACCCGTGGCCCTAAGTCAGAATAGCCGGAACAAATCATATGACGCCAGAGATTTCCGAAGTGGTGAATGAACCAGTGGCGGTTACATGTGTTGGTAATCATTAATCAACTGGCCGATCATTGAAAAGTGACTATGTATACAGATGTGTCAAACAGGTCATGGTGCCAATATAATTAATTATCTTTCTAAAGAATATTACAGAACTTACAATCAAACTTCAGGTGCAGTTAATTTGAAATACAAAGTTAGTAAATCAAACAGAATATTGAATACAAATATGTTCAAAGTTAAACAAATATTGCAGTAAATTTAAACGTCAATATCAGCCATAATGTCAGAAAATAAAGTTGCTGATGTGTAACTGTACTTCAAAAGTCTAAACGAAATGACTTGATAATGTCCGCCAAATTTATCACATCAAATCTTATTATGCCCAAAGTCTGGTTACTTCACAACATGTAAGAAAATGGAGTGCAATCATCGGAAATGCTGGTTTGGATTCGAACAAAATATATTTGTGTACGACTATCACATTGCACATTTATTATCCACACATTTGTATTCTTCAAAACGAATGGGGGAGTCATTGGAGCCTGGGAAGTTATCTGAGCCTACGATGGTGGAGTCGTTTGGGCCTAAGGGTAGTCATCTAAACCCTAGGCTCAAATGACTCTAGAGTCTGAGTCTGAGGATTCATTTGAGCCTCATACACCGGTATCTTTAGGTTGGGAACCAGGCCAATCCTGGTTATGATCCTTTGTTTGTCAGCACTAAGCTTCACCAAGCAGTAAGTGTCGACGACCTGCAATATCACTACAAAACTGTTACACCTGTTCAGATGAAATCACTCTTTCCTTGAAGAGTCTGAAACATAAAGAGAGCTGTCTGTCTTATATGAGTCTTAGATGACTAGTGTTATTGCCTACATGACTCAGTAACTGCCATGGCAATTTGAGTTGAGCTTAAGTAAGCAATGGTAGTACATGTCAACAGTGACGTGTGACATTGCATGTGTTTGTGACGGGTGCCACCGGTTGGACAGGATTAGCTCGCCTTTTCGCGAGCACCTGACATAATCCCTATTTGACAGTGATTCATAAACACTTGCCCAGGTTAAAGTTTTTGGCAGGGATTACTTATGAATATGGAAAGGATTTTGTCATTTTAATTTCACTTGTTCACATCTTCCTCGTTTTAACTCAGGTTGTTAAAAAGGGCAGATAGCTGTTTCAGCAGAAGCAAGTGAGATGGATTGCAGAATTATTTCAGTCACATCATTGCCTGTCGGCTTAATGTGTCAAGACAGCCCCAAGCGATGCAGGTTTTACATGTTACCTGCTTTGATGTTGCCCTCAAGGGCGAGTACAAGTTTGATGCTCACAAATAAAATATCGACACAAGGTTATCAAATTTATTTAGATTTTGAACCATTCAACATAGACTATATTGTGGATAACGAAATATTAAATGATTAGGAAACAATTCGGTGAGTGACAATGTGCTGCTATATGAAAATGCTTACAGAAACAAACGATTACTTTCACACATTGCTACCAGTAAAAGTAATCGAAATCAGGTGAGTGCACTTACACAATGACGTACTTTTATTTGAAAGGCTACATGTCTGAGTCTCTTTGTGATGAACGTTAAGTGTCGTGTCACGTAGTTCAAATCTCTACTGGCTATCGCTGACCTGGAACGGGTGGGTTGAAAGAACTCTGCACAGCGAATCGCGGCGCCTTCGACGACTGGGCCACCCGTGCCCTCACGCCCTACCATTCTCCTACAAACATCACTTACATAACCGAATAATATTACTTCGTGCATGACAAACACAAAACCGTGTGGCATGTTAAAAATAAGTTAAAACTGTCACAAATGTTTTCAGACCTCAAGCGGATTTATTAAAAGAACGATTGACGTACATACCACGTACATGCATAATTGTTTGAATGTGCACTGCATGTGTGTGGCTGCTTGTTCTAGTACAGGCTAAAGCCGGTTTTGTAGAGCTAGCCCACTGGGGTATCATACCGCGGTTTAACACGGGTATCCCACTCAGACAACAGTACACTGAATCCGACCCAACCAGTCGTTGTTTTATCCCCTTAATGCCGAGCGATAGGCAGGGTAACAACAAGCACCACCTCGTAACGCTCTTGAAAAGGCACGAGAACCAACTTTAGTACTTGCGACGACGTTCATACAATGTTTGGCCCTCACTCTATGAAAGTTCATACCCAAATGTACCAACATAAAAAGTAAAAGTCAATTCTCCAAAACAAAATCACTATTTATACCACGAGGGATGTAGCGCTAGATATACAAAAATACCAGCCGCATCGCGGAATATGATAGTTCCCCCAAAGGAGAGATTACTTTAGCGTGTATATGACCAACTTGCTTTACAGGAACATATGTACATGTTGTAGTCTGTTAAGAAGAAATGTATTCAAATAACATCGTCATTGGGCGAGAAAGGTGTACAAAGAACCACTTCAGTAAGTCGATCAGAGTCAGTGAGTGAGTTGGGTTTGACGCCGCTTTTAACAGCATTCCAGTTATATCACGGCGTGTCAGCTTGATGTGAGAGGAAAGCCCAAAGTGATGCAGGTCTCAGACGTTTGCCACTAAGGTGAAACCCACGAGCACGGGTATGGTGCTGACAAACCTAGAAACATAATCGGGCCCAAACTACGATAGTTTGGATGTGCATTTTTTCGTTTTGTTCAATAGCAAGGGTCATAGCGAGGATATTCTTAAACGATCATGCAGTCTAACTATCTGACGTTTCTCAATGTATGCTAAAACGCTGAGTTCAAGATTCTAAACGATCAGAAACAACGCTTCTGTATTGTATTCGTCCAAGGAAATTCCCACTGATCTGGAAGTAGTCCGTCAGTGTTAACGTCAATCAAGATCACGGTATCGTGAAAACATCAATTTCGCTGTCATGTGACCAGCCCCTAATGTCCAATGGAAAAGCCGTATATCTTGTAAACTTCACATTTAAACAAATATTCCAAATTATTGATTGCCAAGTAACTACCCTAATGTTGGGCGACGTATTTCATCACCCAGCCCTTGTGCTTCCACTTTAAGGTAATTTGACTATTAAAAAACAACCTCAAAAAAGGAAACTTATTAACATATCACATGAGGTAAAGTAATTATTTTCAGATGTTTTAAACAACATAGATTTCCATTAATTTTGTTACATAATGATCGTGCAGGCATATCAACATTTTACATGAAGAAATAAGATTGTCCAACAGGTCATGATGCCAATATAATTAATTATCTTTCTAAAGAATATTACAGAACTTACAATCAATCATCAGGTGCAGTATTATTTGAAATACAAAGTTAGTAAATCAAACAGAATATTGAATACAAATATGTTCAAAGTTAAACAAATATTGCAGTAAATTTAAGCGTTAATATCAGCCATAATGTCAGAAAATAAAGTTGCTGATGTGTAACAGTACTTAAAAAGTCTAAACGAAATGACTTGATAATGTCCGCCAAATTTATCACATAAAATCTTATTATCTTATAACGACCTTTCATTCGACCAATAAGGGCGTCGCTTACCAGATCATGAAAGTGACAGTCGGAATGTGATTTCTAATCATACAACCTCGAAAACTTTAACACGGAGTATTCCGAACGATAGTTACGGGTTCAAGGAATGAATCCATACAATCTAGACCATATACTAGTATTAGCCATTCCAGAACGTTCTTTTGTTCAGGTTTCCAATTTGAAATTGAGAATTTGTCAAAATATGTTTCGAAGCGCAGTCGCCAATTTGAAATTAGTGCCATAAAGTACGAGAAGGCGGCCTTCTGATTGGTCATCATTCTATTGGTCGGTAAAAGTTCGCGCAAGGTCGGTCTGACGTGACGCATAATGGGATGTCCTCAGATCTTTGTTTAGCGGTAGCGAGAACTAAGGTCTGATTTTAATGAGATTGCCAAGAAAAGTAATTGAAATCATCTTTCTGTCTAAATAGTATTGTTACACACCACTATGTACAGAATTGGACCGCAACTTACAACGAAGATGAATCTGGTCAAATTCGAAGTTACAGTTGATAATGTAATTGTGCACTTCATTGTAGAAAACCAGAAATGAAGGGTTTTCTACATCCTAAATTGGACCTCTACTTTGTAAGGAAGAGGTTTCTGGTTCAAGCCGAATGTGCAATCCATGGTGTACTCATCCACATCTTTAGGTTTGACAAAAGTACATCTTTGTAGAAAACCTGAAATGATTAAGAAGAGCTCTATCCTTGCTAGGAACTCTCCCATGCATCGTCGACGTCCTGCAGAGAAAGGAAGATAGTTGTCCACGAGACGAGAGTCAATCTGGCCATCCTCCTTCAAGAAACGCTCTGGTCGGAATGCCTCGGGGTCTCCCCACACCTCCTCATCATGACTCAATGAAAACAGATTAAGAAACACCAGAGTATCCTTCTTGATGGTGTACCCAGCCAGTTCCACATCCTCAGTGGTTGCATGCGGTGTAGACAGCGGTGTGAGGTTGATGATGCGTAGAATTTCATGAATGGTTGCTTCGGTGTACACCAAATTACGTCTATCGGCCAAGGTTGGACGTCTGGACATACCAACGACAGCGTCTAGCTCCTCCTGTATTTTCTTTTGGACTCGCGGGGTCTTCGCAAGAAGAAGCATTGTCCACATAGTCGTAGTAGCCACTGTATCAAACCCAGCAGCAAACAGATCTCCAATTGTATCCTGAACCCGTTCTTCACTCATACCATTTGCCTTGTCCTCTTCTGTTAATTGTCTTGACTCATTAATTAGACTGTCTGCAACATCCCGGAGATTATCAGAGGAGAATGTTTCCAGGTGGTCCCGAATCCTTTCTCTGCGGATCAGATGTCCCTTCGATAGAAGATCTTTGAACTTGTTGATCCTCTCCTTCATGAAATGCCGTAACCATGGGAAAATATCAACTGGATTCCCAGCAGTAACGAATGTAGAGAAGTCCTGAGTGTGCAGAATGTACTCACAGAAGTCCTTGTCTGCCCTGACATTGCCTTTCCTTCCATAACAGATCTGATATATCACACTCCCCAATGCAATGTAAATGTGATCGTGTGGATCAAACGCTCGGCCGTTGTACCTCTCAAACTCCTCCAAAATATAGCTCACCTCCTCGTTTATAATTTCTTCAATAGGATTGCTTCGTGCATTAGCGAATGCTTGGAAGGATTTATTTGCTATGCGCCTGTGCAATTTCCAGGATATGTCGAATTTTCCGAAAGATAGACTTTTGCCATTTTGAACGGACACTGATGAGAAGAACTGTGGTCGACCAGAGAAAGCATCACCTTTGGTAGAAAGCGCCTCCTTGATCAGCTTCCCGTGGATCACTACTGTTGGCCATGCTCCAAACTGCAACTTGATGAGATCTCCATAGATCTTTCTCATGTTCATAAAAGTCAGAAATGGCTTTTTACCAAGAAAAGGCAGATGGCCAATTAAAGGTAGCCCCCAGGGACCAGGGATAGATTTGTTCCTGTACGTTAACTTGTGTAGGAATGTCAGTAGAGACGCTGATGCCAAGAAGACAACTCCTGCTTTCCCAAGGGTAGTTATGTCACGAAAATACATGCACATGCCGCCCCAATACATCTGAAGAAGAGCCACGGTTGACATCCTGAAACAAGAAAAGATGCATCTTAATGATGTGTTTCATATTTCAACATCGATTACAGCATCATTACACCGCGGTCAGTGTTTTGAGTAACATCCACAGGGGGACTTTAAATGCAATCAACTGAACCAGACTACCCGATCCATTCTAGCGACTGTTACGACAAGCATAAATTTGTTTGTATTCTATACCCGAACACCCAATGAACGTTCTGTAATAACAGCTTGATTTTAATGCAGCTGCTTCAACAGTATTTAATTGATCATGGATTGTTAACAGGATATGAAAGGGAGGCTGATCTAATGCATGCGCCATGCTGACCAAACCCAATGTCATCATAGGATTCCAGCATGAACCGGAGAGGTATTTTTAAGTTTTTAAACAGGCGTGTCGAAAAGATCTTCAAACAATGATGATGTAAAGTACTTGTTAGTAGCAATCAATATTTTTCTCAGACCCTTTTATGGCAAGTATGGGTAGCTGAAAACCTTTTCTACCCCGGATCTTAGCGGGTCTCATGTAAATTGACCTCTGGCGTCAATCTCCTTGACCTGTTGGAATAAGCAAACAATTTGACAAAGATTTCATTCTGACCAGCTCTCTTTTATGTCCTGAGTACGTTTTACACTTTCTGCATGCTATCGGTAGACGTTTCTGCTCCTGCATTTCGGTTTCATAAAAATGGCCTGGAACGTGATAAACAGTCATACCACCTCAATAGTAACGTTTCCTAATGATAAATATTTCTTCTGTCAATTTTTCTTGATAATCTCTTCGAAAGCTGCACTTGCAGACATATTTAGGGAAATTTACTTACACAGTGAAGTAAAGTAAACCAGTGAACCAGTCAGTAAATATTTGCTAATTAGACTAGTATAGGTGGCCTATAGAAGACTAGTACAATCTACTAATCAGTTTGTAAAGATTACTATCTATCGTTCTAAGAATCTTCTTCTCATAATTGGGGTGGACGGGTAGCCTAATGGTTAAAGCGTTCGCTCGTCACGCCGAAGACCTGGGTTCGATTCCCGACATGGGTACAGTGTGTTAAGCCAATTTCTGTTGTCCCCCGCCGTGATATAGCTGGAATATTGCTAAAAGCGGCGTAAAACCATACTCACTCACTCACTCACTCTTCTCATAATTTACTAATTGTAACAGTATAAACTGATGACCAAAATAAACTTCACCATAGATTTAAATCACAAAAGATAGATGTGTGAAATAATATGCAAATTAAAATTTTCAAAATCTCAACGAAATCAACATGTAAAATGTCATACAGTATCCGTTATTAGCATGACAGTTGCCTGAATTGAGTGTGGTATCACAAACAAGTTCAATGACACGTCACATTAATAGTGTGATAGACCACACCCTGATACAAGACATGTAAAAATTATCCGCGCACTGAAAAAATTAGTCGTCTGATGACGTCTCGTGGACTACGCACTGTCATAAATCGATTCCGTAGATGCGATGTTCGCAAGTACCGGTCTTCATTAAGCGTAGTTACCCTATATCTGCCTGTTCCAAGCCTCTCCGATGTCGGCCCGGTCTGTCTGTAACGTTGCATCAAGTTAGTTACAGAAACACGGGTGTGGGCACGGGTGGCTCCTATCTGTTTTAAACCAAGAGCCCGCTCCCATTGTTCAGGTGTCAGCCGTGGCATGTCTGTGGTGTTTTTTTATCAGTGTGAGTGTCTGACATGCCGTCTGTGTCATTTATATACCCTACTTGCACGTGTCGTTTCGGCTGCCCAAGCAGCACGTGTTTTTCACATTTTCGCATTTTCTACGAAAAGAAAACCGTGCCGTTGTCGTGTATCACTTTCTGCATAGAGCATTGTTGTTTGGTTTAGTTTAAATTTTGCAATTTCAATTTTAAACTGGTAAAGTTTCGTTCGGCCATCAGTTTTTTTACTAAGCTTGTAGTGAGTTTTACTACAATTTAATAAAAGATCGTTTGTTGGTAATTTTGCGATCCCTGTTGACAGCTGCTGTATACAATTTGCAAAAAAAAACAAGTAGTAACATACACAATACAGTTGACATACATATGAATTTCGGTATCATTTAAAGTTTATGTACAATACTACGAGAGAGTAATTGAGAGTAAATAACTAAAGTAAGCAAATTTATACTGGCAAACTTACACACCTCCCTTCTTCATTTAAACATATCATGTAAAGTTCTAAATTTTGTCACTCGTGAACAAATTACATTAAAAACGTTACAAGGCCAATATAAACCAAATACTAATCGTCATCTACTTGTCTCAAAATGGCAAGTGTGACAATGACCAAGGCGGAAGTGAGGAATGTCACGTGGTCTTGACGCCGAAACTGACTTGAACACATGTGTGACATTATTCTATTGTTCAACGCTCCGTCATGTAGAGGCGAATGCTTGAGTAACCCTATTCCTTAAAAATAATTGAGCCGAGGCCCGAGTTACGAGGATATTCCCCTGCTGAAAACACATCCCTTTTTAACAGTTTTGTTACAAATATTGTTTTAAAAAATATTTTTAAAAAAAAACAGAACTCGGTGTTGCCTGTATTTATATTCTGTATGAGTCGCCCTTACGTGATGCACGAGGAATACGTTCTCTGTCGCTGTTGCACGGACACCAAGCTCTGTCGGAAGCTGAGGTTTTAAGTGCATCGTGCACGGTGTTCTGAAGAAGTATTTTGTCAATCCCTTTTACGTTGTAAATGCATCCTGACTGAGATTATCGGATATACAGACAGGAATAAGGATATATATATGTTCATCTGATTTTTCTTCTCTCGTCAAAGGTTGAAAAGTATTATAGTAACCTGCTGTAATACAACATTATATACATATAATATACTGAACCAAATTAAAAACTTCACAACCCTAAAATTTTAACATTTTGACCAGTTATGATTGTGGGCCCTTATTGTGTATTTAAACAGTAATGGCCACGTATTGTCTTCAGATAACACAGGTTTTTGTTCAGGTGAATCGGTCAAAATCATGTGCACAGTAATATAGTGCCAAAAGTGGTTTTTCACATGCAACTGGTCACATGGCCATAATACCGCACATGTTTTCAGCCATACTTGTTAGCAGTGATTAACAAAAAAAGAAAAACACAAGAAAATAAAAGTTTTTACGGCCATTTGTCATGCCACGCCTTTCAAATGTGCAACGTGAACGTGCCATCGGCATGTTGCAGACGGGAACGTCCGTAGCTGAAGTCGCAAGGACGATGGGTTGTAGTCGACGGACTGTTTATGATTTACAGACGTGTCTACAGCAAACGAGTACCACCTCTGATCGCCCTCGGCCAGGTCGACCACGTGTGACGTCACATGCAGAGGATCGTCAGATTGTCTTACGTCACCTCCGTAACCGATTTTTGACGGCTACATCAACCAGAAATGAACTGTTTAGGGGTAGACTGAGTGCGCAAACTGTTCGAACCCGTCTGAGAACTGCTCACCTTCAAGCACGACGGCCACACTGCGGGCCGATTCTGACTCAATCACACATACGTCAACGTCAATTGTGGGCACAGCGACACTTACGATGGACTCAGAGGAATTGGAATCAAGTCGTCTTTAATCTTTAACCCGATTTAATCTTCGATTTGCTGATGGTAGGGCGAGGGTGTGGAGGCGCCTTCATGAACGTTACGCCCAGTGTTGTGTACAGGAAGTTGACAGATTTCGAGGTGGAAGTGTCATGGTGTGGGGTGCACGTTCCAGGCTTCTTGTCATCCGTGGCAACCTCAACGCTGCTGCTTACCGCGACCAGGTACTGGCACCAGAACTTCTGCCTTTTATGGCAGCACATGGACCCTGTTTGATCTTCCAACACGACAATGCCAGACCCCACACAGCAATTTTGACAAGGAATTTCCTTCAGAATGCGGGAGTCAACGTCATGGACTGGCCGTCAAGGTCTCCCAACCTCAATCCCCTCGAACACGTCTGGGATGCTCTTGGCAAAAGTCTGCGCACTCTCCAGAACCAACCACAGAATTTGCAAGATCTTGGCACCATTTTGCAGCAACAATGGCATCGTCTTCCCAATCATGTGTTCACAAGCATCACAAGGCCCATGCGGAGGCGTTGTGTGGCAGTTGTCAACGCACATGGTGGCCATACACGCTACTGAACTTGTGTTCCATCAGATTCTCGTGCTTGGGACTTATGATTTAAACTGTTGATGTTATTACCGAATACCGTAGGTGCTTGGAACTAATTATGGTTACCACCGTTAATTAAAATCCTTCTTTGGACATTAATGATTAAAAATTACCTTCTCTGATACATTGGCCGTTGTATGTCATATACAGGATTACTTGTTAAAATGTGAAGTTTTTAATTTGACTCAGTATATATGCCCTCTGCCTCATAGCATTCATTTACCTGATGAAGGAGTAAGCATATACTCCGAAACGTTGTGTTGCTCGTTATAAAGAAGTTGACTTCAATAAATTCTCTTCCTTATGTGTATCACTCCTAAATGTTTTTCAAAGACTCAAAATAATTCGGGGTTTTCTTTTACAAGGTTCCACCCACAGATATGTTAGTGAGTGAGTTTGGTTTAACGCCGCTTTTAACAGTATTCCAGTTATATCGCGGCGTGTCAGCTTAATGTGGGAGGAAAGCCCGAAGTGATGCAGGTCTCAGACGTTTACCACTTCGGTGAAACCCACGAGCACGGGTATGGTGCTGACAAACCTAGAAACATAATCGGGGCGAACCGGGACTCGAACCCACAATCATAGGTTTCTGGCGTGCCCAGGGGACGCAACTATGCACAGCGAATCGCGGCGCTTTAGACGATTGTGCCACCCGTGCCCCCCGAAGATATGTTAAAAAGTCGTGATTGCTATTAACGCGCCTATGACACCGTCATCATTCGAAATGGTGTAGACACGTCTTCTAAATCAATTTACCACAAAAGCCTTACAAAATGAAGCCTGCGGTCTATTTAACTTGTTCCGGCCTCAACGCGAACACAAATC